AGCAAAGTTTTAAATAAAAAAATTTTATTCCATATTTTCGACTTATTTGTGCATGTAGAATCACCACCCGGCCGATTGTACCGCGATTTTGTGGACATCCTGTGTTACCTAAACTATTTTCAGCTTCATACTGTTATAAAATAGTACTCGTGGACTTGACATTGCTTTACTGATGTCATTATCTTCTGGAATAAAAAATAGGTAAAAAAATATCATCATTGTCCATAATTTATCATCTATTTCTAACTGTCCCTGAATGTCGTTACAATGGAAATCTTCAAATTCAGTATATTGTACTGTCAATCAAAACTATGTATAATTGACGTCACTCTCCCTTAAAAGTAGTAGATGATACCTTTTCCTATATTTCGCCTAACATGTGGATACAATCTTTTAAAGTAATTGTTCTATAAAATATTCGTGATCCGTTCTGTATTTCGATACTCGGTATTTGAAACGAATCGAAGCACCAATAACCGACACTTGGATAATAGACCTTCTACTGTATTTTAATCCGAAAATGAAGTTACCATAAACACTCGAAAAAATTTCACTTCCACACCAAAGCAAACGACCATCATTTATGAATAGTTACTAAGAATTCCAAAAGTGGCAAAGTACATGGTTCCGGAGCGAAATTGAGATTTACAGGAGAAGCTAACGAGACGAATAGAAATCGAAGGCATTCCCAGATAGTGTTCACCTGTCAACGAGCCAATTTGATTGTGTTTATATTGGCAATGATCAGCTGCCACGACTAATCGTTAACATTTTTGAAATGATATTGACTTTGGCCGAAGACTCGCAAATTATGAGTGACAATAGAAGAGTTTCCAAAGTGACGAGAGATGACAGGTCCACTCACTTTTCTCCTTTGCGTTTGCGCTTGCATGTTAGAACCCTCAATTCCACTCGGTAGATCTATAATTGAGAAATTCTTATATGTAGAGAAATAAGCAATCCTCTACACTTCAAACACATTTCAGATTATCAGTACATTTCTTCGTAGAAAACTTCAATTTTCTTTTGCAACATATTCTTACTTCATGTTCATCGAGGTGCTAATGGATCACCTTTTTCTTTTTCATTCAAAGTGTTTATAAATAGTTTTCATACAAATTTAACGGGAATTAGATTCCGCAAGTAAATCCGTGCGTATCTTTTCTGGCAAGCTTTAGTTTGAAAATGCTATTTCGAATAAAAATTATCGCTGTTTGTCAAGATGGTCGAACGATGCAACGTAATTGTATCAGTAAGTCAGCCGCGTGTATCGAGTACCTGTCGACCAATCCGAATCGTTTAACGGATTTATGTTAACGGGCGTCTGCAACAAACACATTTCTATTTCGAAAAACATATTTTCGCTTCCACGGTCCCTCGTCGTTGATACTCAATATTCAAGGCTCGAAAAACCAAAGAATCTAAAAATACAGCGAGGTCAGGCCGGAATCGTGCGAATTCTTCGGCAATAATCGCGTAAATATAAACTTGGCTTGTGGCACGCCTGCGGTGTAACGGAGTGAATAATAATTCGTTTTATTGACGCAATAACCACACTTTTTCACGTTTCTTTTTATTAAAACACGGCGGAAAGTAACATGATCCAGCACTCGTGGCCAACTAAGACGACGTAAATATGAAATATGACGAAAAGTACGGACGCCGACTCGAACGATTGCTCACTGTTTATTTCATGCATCTTACCACGAAAGTTGTTCGTCAAACAGAATTGCTGTTTTTAGATTGTACTGGTATTGAAAGTATTTATTCGTACAACGGTAACGTATCGGATTGATTATACGTTACATTGATTTTTCGAAGATCTGTTACAACGACGCTTGATACACGACAGGCGTAGGTAAGTTTTTCGATAAGGAGAGCCATATATAATAATTTTCATAGATTTTTAAATGTTCAAGAGCTGCAGAAAATATTATTTTGAAATTGTACTCATAAATAATAAAAAATACAACTATACATATAGTAGTCCTACTAAAATGACAATCTAAGCCAATATTGTCTTAGGAGCCGCAAAAGAATAGCTTTGGGAGCCGCGTGCGGCTCACTAGCCGTAGTTTATCCACAGTTGATATATGATTATGAAAACCAACTTGACAATAATATTGTAATATTAAGTATTGTCAATTTTAAGTGCATCACGATATTAGGTTGACGCTGTATAAACATCGTTTTTCAACGTGTTTCATGTAAATCATTGTGAGATCATTAAATATGGGATCAGGAACTTTAGTTCTCGTTCGTAAGAATGTCTAGATTCAGATTTCTTTTCCAGATTAATTATATTAATTCAATACTGTGTTTATTAAAATTGATCAAAATTGTTTCTTCATGCCGTATTTGTTAATTATAATTGATATAGGAGTCGTTTGACAAATGCAGGGATAATTGTTACCTACTTGTAAACCTGGATGTACAGGACACTTTATTTATATGTATAATTTAGTATTTACTTTAATTAGATTGCATAAGATTCATCTGATTTACGTATCTATGTCTAGTACACTACTTGTATCAGAATTTACTCATCACAATCGTACCAGCATATGAGCTATTTTTTTGTCAGGTTACACATATAACTCCACATTTCTTTATTTTGAAATACTTAATGTTTTGCTTTTTACCCTATATAAAAATACTGTTAAACGCTAGTAAGTTTGTTCTATGCTTTTAAAATTCCAGACATGTTTAATTCTATTATGCGACCATATTGATAAATACTCTCTAAATAAATGTTTTCTTGTAGAGTAAATGGAGTCTACACTACTTTCGAAAGTAATAAATTGTCAAAAGCACAAGTAATGCCAAATTTAAATTTATATTTCAATTGAAGTAGACTTTTCCGAGATGTAATTTTAAAATATAAATAATAAGAGTTCGACAAAATTTAAAAAATTTTAAAATCATGGAATGAACTGGTTTAGCACTGGAATCGGACTTGGCTAGCGCGTCTGTTCATTGAATTCTGTTTCTACTTATTGCCATAAATACACGCGTTTCAGATTAATTTTCAAAGTTAATTTCTTCAAAATCGAAGTCTCACATGAAAAAATGTTATTCTGTATTTTCCACTTATTTTTTCACCTAGAATCAGCACGTACCCGGTTGTACCACCAGTTATATGACTGTGAAAATAATTCAAATATTTATGAAGTCATTTACATCCTACATTTATATTTTACTTATATTCATGATTATTTTTACTATTATTTGTTAAATACGATAGAAATTAAGTCAGAATAATTATACTAGATGAATAATTCAAGAAATAAATCAAACCGGCCAAATTTATATTATAAAAGGCCAGAATTTGTAACGTGTAGAGAAAAAAGTAAAACCAGCATCGTGTTCAGCAACCTTCAATTAACACAAAAAAGCCAGGTTTAATTCCGTCATTTTCTGATCTGAAATCTGTAAAAAATGAAAATACAACCGTGAAGATAGATAACATTACTAACTATTACTCACATTTTATTCATTTCGCTTGTTAGAATATTTCTTGGAACATTCGTAGTGAATATACATATAAGGGGTATATAAGGCACTAAACTCATCATATCGTGATATTTACTTGATATAATAGATCTTGAATTTCTATAGAGGGTGTCTCACCTAAGACCGAACATTTAAGTATCTTCTTTATTTTTAAGGGCATGAGAAATCTTTCAAATACAGTTCGAATACTGTCAGAAGGGGAAGATCGTGCATGGAACATTTTTTTTATAACCAGTTTTTTCGAATGTTTTTAAGTCACCGGTATTTGTTTTACTAGATAGCACATTTCTTTATGTTATTTCATAACCACGTGTTGAAATGCATTCAGATATGTTTAATTTATGTCCTTGAGCAGAACCTGAACATTGAAAAAATTATGAAATTGTAAATAAATGTTAGGATAGGATGTGAATTTACTTTCTATGTTAAAAATGCTCAAACTGAGGTCCATCGGTACCGATACTCTGACTAACACGAGATATCACGAATTATGCTGCTGTTTATATCTCTTCTGACGTGATAGCCCTAAGTATTTAATTCTTCATGTCTTCCGGAGTGGTCGGTTGCTGTTGGTGAACGTTTTCTTTATTTTTTTCCATTATTTTTCATTATTCCATTATTTTTTCAACCTCAAGATCATGAGTTAGACATATTTGAATGCACCTTAGCATGTGCTCACAATACAATAAAATAAAGAACTGTTGTCTGGCAAAAAAACACAGGTGACCTAAAGAAATTCTAATGGTGAAAGTTTCTTCTTTGAAATGTGATACAATAACAAATGAAATGTATGTCAGTGTCTAAAAATCAGTTTGTGACGCATCTATTTCGATCGAATCATCGAGTTGTATATTATGTACGTCGCGCAGTTTTTGTCAACTTCACAGTGACTCGCTCGAGAACAAAAATACAGTGTGTACACAGAATGGACCACGCAAGAGTTACAAGCTATTTTCCACGAATAAAACGTCATGAATTACGACAAAATATAGTTTTGTATAATAGTTTAGATTTCAATAGAAACCAGTCTAAGTCGAATTCTTTAAATACTAAATGAAATATATTTTTTTAAGAACATAATATAAAAATATTTAGATATACGTTATAAAGATCAATAATATTAATGTTCTTCAGTAGGAGAAAAGTATATCTATAATAATAAACCTCTACTTGCAACAATTATAATAGAATTTTAGACTTAATTCTAAGACATAAAATAAATAAATATAATTAAGAACCCTGTTAACTGTTTATACAAAAATAATTGTTTCATTGTAAAATAACTCGTAAATTTATTTATTTATCTTGCTTCGTTATCTTTGTAGACTTGATTCTAACATTTTCCAATCAATTATTTTTGCTTGATTCTCAAGAACTAAATACTCATCGTAACTAACACTAAAAATTACCGATGTAACTTATTGTAATATTGATTTCATTATTATCATTAGCAAGTGTGATTGATAAATTACTATAATTGTTCGCAGCTCTTAAACGGGTAGCTTGGCCACCGCCTCCAGAGGAACAAGACTACGACTTCGTGGAACAGGGACCAGTACAAGCGAAGGTAAATTATTTTTACGATTTTCCGCAGAACTCTACCAGAAACATGTTATGCGCTTGTTACCAAATATCTTAAAGCGAGTAAAGATCGATGCCGTGTATATTTGCCTGCAATAGAATTGTATGTACAGGGATCGAAGAAGAAACAGTGAACTTTTTTGTAAAGTTCTGTCTAAATTTAGATTTTTTGTTTGGTCGAATATTTGTACTCGTGGAACAGATATTTTACATTTTTTAATGCCTTAAACGATATTGCTCATCATTCCTTATAAAAAACTATTAAATTATTTATGCCGAAAAACCATTAGTTTAAGAGACATTTTCCTTTCAAAATTCCGAAATGGTACAATTTAGTAATACGATGTTTATCTTTTTAAACTTATTGTTCAACCTTAGATGTTAAATGTCTCACGTAGTATGGCGAACAATTTCGAAATTAAAATATCTCCTAAACTAATGGTTTTTCAGCGTAAATAGCTTAATAGTTTTTTGTAGGGTATGACAAGCAGCATCGACTCTTGTAGTAAAAAATGAATAATACTATTTCAAAATTCAAATTTAACCTTCTTGTGTCCTCTGTGCGTCCAACTACAAAAAACTACTCAGATCAATTTATTTTTCCCTCGAAATCATTCAACGTCTATCTCAAACATTTTTTGGTATCAATAGTTTCAAAGATATTCGATGGGATCGATTTAAATGACACACCCTATATATTATCGGATAATGTTATTGAAAATTTGATTTCTTCCATTCCCTATAATAGAAAGACGTCTTAGTGAGAAATTTTATGGATACTGAATTTCAAGAATTCGTTTATAATAATCGACATTGATACAGGAATCTTTCATCTTTTTTACGAATGCAATTTTTGTATTATTTTGTATTTGTCACTTCGTTGTTTGCTCGTGTATTCACTGTCATGCGTCTGTCAGTAGCAACGATATCCTTTCATGTTCTTTTGTTCCTCTCAATACGTGCTTGCTATTACGTCATTGTTATCTCGTGCACATTATTTGTATCCAGGGCCGTTCCTGGCGGGGATGCAAAAGGGTCTCCCGCACCTGGGCGGCCAAACCCAGGAGCGGCTGCAGACCATTTATTATATGTAAATTTCGACTAATAAGAATAACAATCGAAACTTTTTTGATGATTCTTACAATTTTAAACAAACAGAATTCAATCAAATTAATTTTATATGTAATCTTTGGAACACTGCTCATATACAAGAATGAGCTCTCTTTATACATATACAGCCCAAAAAAGCATATGATATTTAGCCATATTTATTGCATTAAATTCGTGTAGTTTATTAATAGTCGATATTATCAACTATAACATCATTATTACAAACACTATACGTTAGTTTTGTAATTATATGTAGAATGAAATATTCATCTTAAATAAAAGCATTTCTTCTTTATCTATCTTTGTTTCATTTTATGAGCATAGAATTTAGAAAATATTTCTTTTGCATGATAACTGTTAAAAACTATGTACATAGATTAAAACTACTTAAACATACTTTTGTACCATATGATGCTTAGATGAAAACTAATTAATCATACTTTTATATAGATATAAATGTAAACACAACAGTAATTAAATAATATTAAATTAATAAGGGCGGCCATATTGTTCTTGCACCCGATCGGCCAACAACCCAGGAACGACCCTGTTTGTATCTTACTAAATTGCTGCACAGAATGGGTCCGTGACATTACATTGAATAAATTTTTGTTGGAGGAAATGATTAAAATAAACGAAGATTTGATAGGTAACATTTTCCTAATTTCGTGAGGAAACTGATTGTCCTTTCCTTTTGAATAACTGTGAATTCATATAAGTTTTTGTTCGATCAAAATTTTTACATAAATAAGATAAAGAGAAGATATTATCTAACAACAATAATTAATAAGCTTTCATTATGCATACAATATTACTTCGGGTCATTGGATTACATATATGTAATACATCATAAAATAATGATGATTGATTATTGTTATTTTTACTTCAAGCGTGATAAAACTTTTAACAAAGGGGCCATGTTTTTTTGCTCAATCTCATTTGTGTAAACTAATCTATGAAAGTACAAATCTGAATGCAAGAGTGTAAATTGAATATGTTTTCATTTGCGATCTAAATATTGCTTTCCTATCAATTTATTACAATAGTTCTATGGTGAAAATTTTAAAGTAAAATATTAATTTCTGTAAGACGGGACCGTGTGAAATGTATAAATGGCTTTTTGGCGGCGATCTGTGGACTTGAGAATGTGAAAAGGAAAAGAGTGGGGAGAGGGAGCGTTTCGTCCTGGGCCTGCTAGTGGACTCGTCAGTAAGGCTACCTAGCAGACCCTGCCTTAGACGCGGGGATATACGATGGTCGGTTAAGGACGTATACGTATATGTATACGAACGAGGAAGGCTTCAGGTAGTTGCGGGAAAGGGTCAACTAGGTAGACCTCTGATGGCGAATGTAGGAAGGAAGGTAGTGCCGCCACAGCTTTATTACATGTACAGGGTGTCTCAACTAACTTGATCACCTCGAATAATGACTTAACGGTACACTTTATGAACATTTTGAGGCCTGAAATATAAATAGCATCAAAGGGCACATCTTATAAGATACGTGCTTTTTTTGTGGGTAGAGGCATTTCAGAAATTTCAAGGTCACCTTGATTTTTTTTAACGGAAGGATCTATTTTTTGTACCATAGATTGGTAGAGTATCAAATTCTGAGTAAAAGTGTTATTATTTACAAAATAATAAGTGCTAGAATTGATGCCCCTCAACTTCAATACAACGATTTTAATACAGTGATTATTTTGTAAATATCTCGTTAACTATTAGGTTTGGAACGTATGAGGGTCAACACATTTTTACTCAGATACTCTATCGATCTATGGTACAACAAATAGGTCATTGCGTTAAAAAGAATCAAAGTGGCCTTGAAATTTCTGAAATGCCCCCACCCACAAAAAAACACGTACCTTATAAGATATGCCCCTTGATGGTATTTAAGTTCCTCTCCTCAAAATTTTCATAAAGAGTACCGTTAAATCATTATTCGAGGTGATTAAATTAGTTGGAACACCCTGTATATGTTCGCACCAAATGAGCATCAAGAATTGAGCGCCTGAAAACGCTGTTTGCACGAAATGAATACCTTGTTATAGACGCCTACAGGCGCTGTTCGCAATCAAAGGATTAAAGTGGATCATATGTATAGTCACATTAGCCCTTTAGGATAGGATTATGTCTATCGTTGATTATGAAAGTGGTACAATCCAAAAATCCAAAAAAATTGAGTTTTTCTCCTACTTTATGTTACATCAATATTATGAAAAAATTTTCAGAACGGAATAGACATGACTTACACTATACTTGCATAATCACTGGCACATATCTCGCTAGGTCTCAGGTCATAGGAAAAATAAAAATGACCGGTCGGTAAGTTTCAAATAATTCCATAAAAGCAAATACAGACAATAAAAAGCTGCTATAACGGCTCGTGTAACAATATATTTGACTTAAAGTTAGAGGTTAGATCTAAAATAACAAAAAAATGATCGCAACGAAAATGTGATATAACTGAAAACACAAGGTTGCGGATAAACAATTATTGAGATACACAAAATTTGAGAGCAAATATTCCAGCAGTCTTTGTAAAAGTTAACTCGGAACATATTGTTCCGTCAGTCTCGAATTAGTTAAGAAACTTGATCGTTGCTTGGAATAAAAATTTATTCAATGTCCACGAACAAATATCCATATTTGACACATAATTTCTTATTAGTTGTCCAAACTAAAGTCTGTCTAACACTGTCGTGTGCACACATACTTAGAAAATATACGTTTGACGACGCGGTTGACTACACCACTGTGGCTATCGAGGCGGATGTACCGAGTCTATGAACAAAAAAAAAAAACATTGAAACTCATGTGAAAGAATAATAAAAGGTTAAGAAAGTCATAGGATTCATTCAGTTCGTCGTTAGATACGGTGTTTCCTATACAAAAGCCTCTGTTTTCCCTTGAAAAGACCCGTGGAATCGGTGATTTCGCCTCGTACCAGAGCAGTCCCTCGTCAGGTTCGTCACCTCAACCACCGTCGACGATCGCTCGTTCGTCGACGCAGAGTGCCGTCCCATCGTCCCCGTCGCCGGTTAGTCCTGGCGGAACACTTCGACAACCCTCACGCTTCCAACAGCAGTCTGCGCCGAAGGGTTGGGCGCCAGTAACACCCCCTGCGACTTCCCCGATACCGCAGCAACCCTTTCAACCGGTCTCTTGGTCCAGCCAACAGCAACTGAACCAGCATCCGCAGGTAAGTGACTAAAGCATAGGTGTCGAACTCGAGTACTTGCTGTATTTCTCATTGTAGAATATTATTCACGTGTCACTCATTTGTATCTTCCCTCGAGAAATATTTCAAGACGTTACCGATTTGTGGTTGTCGTTAAATTTTCCAAATTTTTATTTCATTTGAGAGAATGACACTTTTTAGTCTTAGAGGTCGTTGCGAATTCAAAAACGTATAAACTGAGGTACAGAGCTTTATGGTATGGAGAATAAAAGGTTTAACTGGTAAATTTACTCGTTAGAAACAATAAAAATATATGCAGGATGGGGCAATAACTATGTGCGCTTTGAATACTGCCGTTATTTGTAATAATATGAAAAAATGTTATATATAAAACTTACACGGTATAGAGGGGGGCATATTGTGACACAAATATTTTCTGCGTGAGTGAAGGCATAGAGGAGATTTCAAGGTCATCTCTATTTTTTTTAATGGAATGCTATGTTTTTTTTATCGCGATGTGATAGCTGGTGTTGAGACGACTTCAGCGAGCTATCAAATGTGGTAATAAACTAAACTTTCTTACATTACAGGAGATGCTCGAAGTGGTGAACGTTTGCGTCAATGCAAAGTTGCAATCTTCGTATCGCTGCATCACGTGCATGTCTTATCGTTTCTGAACTTATTCTAGCACATGCTGCAATTATCCGTTGTTTCATATTTTCTGGTGTAGTGGGTACTTCTTGATAAACAGCATTTTTCAATGTTTTCCAGAGAAAAAAATCTACTGGAGTTAAATCTGGAGAACGAGATGGCTAAGAAACCAATCCTCCACGTCCTATCCATTTATTTGGGTAAAGTTCGTTCAGTGCATCTCTTACTCTCCGAGCATAATGTGCTGAACACCCGTCGTGCTGTAACGACATCATTTGGCGAACGTTTAGTGGTACATTTTCTAATAAAGTCCCCTATGAAATAATACAGCATGTGCTAGAATAAGTTCAGAAACGATAAGACATGCACGTGATGCAGCGATACGAAGATTGCAACTTTGCATTAACGCAAACGGTCACCACTTCGAGCATCTCCTGTAATGTAAGAAAGTTTAGTTTACTACCACATTTGACCTTGCATGACCTTTAATGATAGGTTGCTGAAGTCATCTCAACGCCGGCTATCACATCGCGATAAAAAAACATAGTACACCATTAATAAAAAATAGAGATGACCTTGAAATCTCCTCTATGCCTTCACCCACGCAGAAAATGTTTGTGTCACAATGTGCCTCCCTCTATACCGTGTAAGTTTTGTATATACCATTTTTTCATATTATTACAAATAACGGCAACATTCAAAGTGGACATAGATATTGCCCCACCCTGTATATGTATATCGGGTGTCTCACCCGATTTTGACATCTTGATTTTCTCGCTATTGTTACTCGTAGCAAAAAATGTTTCAACGGAGGCTTGAATGGTATCGAGTGGAGCATATTCTGATGTTATTATTTTTTCGTGAGTAGACGCGTAAACATGCAACTGGACATTCGTTATAAAAAAGTACTAACCTATGTATGTCGAAAAGTTAGTAGTTCAGGAGATATATCAATTTAAATAATTCTGAAATACCATTACTGTCGTACTGTATTACCATTCCTGTAAATAAACGCTAACGTTAGAATTATTTCAAATATTAACAAATATTATGCATAGTTGCAATAGGACATTCTCTATAAAAATCGCTGAACACTGCTGAGTTGCACATGAAAAAATAAAATTATCTGAAATTGTTTCGAACTATTGCTGAAGTCGACACCTATGCGTGTATACATCGATCCATAAGTAATGTCATTTTAAAAAATGGTCTTTTTAATAAAACGGCTTTAATTACTTGTAAGTGATCTATTAGATTCACCGACTGATACCGATTTTTCGAATTGGAGAAAATTTGTTAGAATGTATATATATATATATATATATATATACTTCGAATTTTATGCATTTAGGACAAACGTAAGCGAGTGAAACACAATATAATAAAAACTTTAATAACACGGACTTATTTATATAATAAGTATCTATTCAATTTCCGTTTGTACATCAGTCCATAAAACTGCGAATTTTTATCATCCGTAGTCTACACATACATACATAAATACCTATATTATTTAGAAGATCCAATCACACCCACACGATGCAGAATTTTATTCTGACGTTTAATTCTTTAGAATCGGGAAATAAGTTTTGCAACTTTAAGTAAAATTATATGTATATATGTATATAAGTGAAATTGCATTTATTATAAGTTATAAGAATAAAGTTTTTATTCTATTGTGTTTCACTCGCTTACGTTTGCCCTAAATGCATAAAATTCGAAGTCTTGTTATTATGTATAACACACAGTATAAGTAAAACACAAGTAAAGACCAAAATCAGAAATGAGATGACTTATGGTGTTGTCTGGAACTTGAAAATTCGATCGACGGGTGGATTACTTCGACAAGGAGATAAGGAAATTATTATATTTTCGAGTGTGTTCTGTGTACCTCCCTCCTCAGTCCTGGAACGAGTGTGTAGTCAACGGCTATTCATTTCGAAGATTTCATATTTTCTTTTAATGTTTTCGTATTCATATAATTATGAGCAAGTTAATTTAATTATATTGTTGATTACAGCAACAACCACAAGACTATAACTCGTCGCAACGACAACCACACAATCAATCCCCCGCTGCATTCGAAGCACCACCATCCACAATCATACTTCGTCCGGAGCCTCCAATCTCACAGGTTTGATTCTGATATTAAATATTAATAATTCACCATAAAAGTAATAACACTTTTTAAAGAAATTCCTGTATAGCTTCATACTTTTAGCAAGATAACAATTTCATGTCTAAAAATTAGTGAGACAATACGATATGGGAGACAGCAATGAAATTTCAAAAATAATCATTTTCAATCCTGACAGCAGACATGTAACAAATTTTTCTGTGAGCAATTATTACCTTAGGAAACAAATCATAAGATATTATAAATAAAAGCAATACATTTGGTATGAGGATATACAGATTCGTAGGTTGCCACAGTAGCTGACCGTAGGGGGAAACAAAAATAGTTAATAACTAGGGCAAGATGTGGGAATTTAGAAAGAAACAACAAATAGTGGTTAAATAATAGTGAGCGGAGATACGAAATATGTATATAATAATGGTAGGGGTATGCTAAAGCATTTGTTAGAGGACTGTTATGAATTGGAAAGAGGGAACTGCACGTTAGAGGAAGTATTTTGTAGAAGTAAGAAAAAGAAAGTGGTAGATAGATTGAAGTACATAGATTGGTTAGGAAAGATAGAAAATAAAATAAAAATATTTAGAAAAGAAAGGGAGTTATAAAAGACGATGGGTAGGAAGTCCATTTCTTGGCCTGCAGGCTGGAATTTATTTAAACTACTTGCATAATTGCTGATTTATATTAAAACTTCAAGTTGACTACTTTAAAGTCCATTTTTAGAGGAGTCTTTTTACATCAAATCAATCACTTTCAACACTCAAAGAAACCTAATGCCCTGCGGAAATTACTTCCTTAAAGATATAAAAAATACAAGTTTAAAAAATCGATGACTATATGACTATATGTAGTTCCCAAAAAAATTCTCTTGAGGGTACGTATTTTGTAAAGGGAACTTCAAATAATCTAATCTAATTTTCTCAAAATTTTACATTTCTTTATTTCGACAAAAATTTATGTAAAAACTCCAATCTCCCAGAATTGAAATAAAAAATACGAATTGTGTACGATCGATAATTTTGACAATAAACGTTCATATACGTAGTCCTACGTTCTTTAGCTTGAAGAGATTGTTCCTACAGTAGCACGTCGTACATTCTCGGAAACGCCAATCACTTGAAATACCGATCCTCAAAATACTGAACGATTTACAGAAGAAATATACAAAACTTCTATTGTCAATAAAATATACCGAGTTTGAAAAATGCAACGCAGATCATATTCAAGAATAATTAGGAATACATAAAGATGATCCGTCATAGAAAATTATGAACGAAGATGCAATTGTTTCATTTATTTTTGTTGAAGCAATTAATGACATGGGTGGAGAAATGGTACGATCACGTACTGTCCTATTACAATGGGTAAAAAAAGTATTCGTGTACCTTTCTAAACAGAACAACTCTTTCAAAATTGGATCAAGTGACTTGAGTTTCTTTGCGAAATTAGGATTAATTTACTAAATGATGTGTTAACAAAATTTTTTTAAATTTACGATTTTTCAGAATGTCGAAGAAAATTGTAAATGTTGTTTTTTCCAACTTTTTTGTCTGAGACTGTAATGAAAATTTAAAAAATACATTTCGAAGATTTATGTCAGTTATACACATGCTGCAACTTTTATTGAAATCGGTTAATACAGAAACGAGTAACAGGCATCGAAAGATGTAAGAATCTTTAGATATACTACAATTGTAGGTCAAAATTCGCGAAAAACTGCGATTTTTGACATTTTTAACAGTTTGTATCTCACAACAACGCTAACCGATTTCAATGAAATTTTCAGCATGCATATAACTAACATAAATCTAAACAATGTATTTGTTAAATCTTCATTAGAATCTCAGATAAAAAAGTCGCAAAAAGCGACCTTTACTATTTTGTTCGCAATTCTGACCAATTGCAACTTTTTCAACATTTTGTTAACACCATTTTTTAGTAGACTAATCCTTCTAAGTTCACAAAGAAACTCAAGTCACTTAGTAAAATTTTGGACGAGTTGTTCTGTTTTATAGGATGTACGAATACTTTTTTTATCCACTGTATATTGGTTCTTCTAAATTTTACTTCCATCGCATAATTCGAATGATCGACGTTCTACTGTAAGTACTTCCCTATCATGGAATCGATTCGGGTGTGGTATTGTCACGTTCCTCGTGACACCGTGGATTCAATCCGGCACCGACAGAGGTCTACTATTTCCACAAGTGCTCGCTGTTATTCCAATTAGTATAATATATAAATCCCAAATTCATCATCTCGTCCCACACGTCTAGAGCATAAACCACCCAATTCTAGCCCTACTGATGAGTCTGGTTGATAATTTCGAGATAAAGCGCACCCCTCTTTTTTTCGACTCCATCCTGATTGCCTCTTCTTATTTCCGGTTTGTTCCACCATACTCCCATGCTATTAACTACGACTTTAATGTGGAGGGCGAGAATAGTAACAAAGACCCCCATGTTGCATCTTTTTCAGGGTTAACTTTGGTAACAGTGTTCTACCCGTTCTATTGTTGATAGAGATGGCGTGAACTGCTACTTATGAATCACTCGTGATTCGATCACGTTCATTCCCAATCACGGTGATTTTTCACAGTGATTCGTGATTTCTCGTGATCGTTTCTGACGGGTGGAGAAACCTAACAGTTCTTTACACGCGACAGCAAAACCAAAATTCGAGTTATATCGTATAAAGTGAAGGAATAATTAGAAACAATGAAGAATAATGAATAAATTAATAATTATAAATTATAATGTACATGTTGCCTAGGAAATCGTTCTTTTAGAATTTCTTGTTTTTTCTACTGATTTTTACAAACACGAATAATAATGTAATTCATCGTAAAATCATATTGAATACGTTTTTCTGTTTAAAGATCAAGGACTTACGATCGCAGTGAGCAAATTCACTCAAGATAAAAAAATCGCAATCACGGTCGTAAATGAAGTTAAATCGCGACCGTGATCGTGATTCGGTGATCACTGTGATAAATTACCATTAGTGATTTTGCACGCCATGTCTAATTGTTGAGTATTTACCCGCAAACGATAAGAAATGACCGTTTCAGCAATTAGTTGCTGAAAGCAGGTATAGAGAGTATTTCACAATAACGATAATTAACTTTAAGGATCAATCGTGTAATCATAAAAATAATTAAAGGAATTTGTATAGTCGTTTGTTCTATCTGACACTATTTCTAAATTGTAAGGGTCGTTGTAGTTTGTAAATCCTCCCCAAATAACACAAAAACGTCATATACATATACGTCCGGAGAACGTACGCTCCGGACGTTGAGTACCTTCGGAAGTTGTCTCGAAAAGGTCCAGATGTCCCTCCTACGTCCTCGTTAAGATCTTTAAATGTCCTAGGAAGGTCCTATTTAGAAAGAGGAACGTTCTGAGGACGTCCTGTGTCAACATTCTCAGAACGTTTTACGAATGTGTAAAAGTAACATTCTCTATACTTTTTACAAACACCTAATGATGTCCAAAATGGACGTAAGACATTCGGATATAAACTGGACATGAAACGGACGTCCTTTGGATGTACTATGCAATCTGGGTTATTACAAGCTGAATTATCCGTAGTTATTCCTCAGATTAATTTCAGAAAAAAGGGAATAATAAAATATTTATTATGAAACTGACGATTATGTTAGTAGTGAGCAATCGTAGTAAAGGATTGAAAAACATTAGTTATGCTCACTTATAGAAATTCATCTAAAGTGAGTCAGATGAGAACATTCATATTCGTGTATATGAAATTCTCGATTCAAAACACCGAGTGAGCCAATTTGTCAATCTTTGTTTTATTATAATTTTAGGCACCAGCGCCAGTTTACCAAGCACAGCCTGCCGCAACAAAGGCTCCAGTTAGTGGAAACATGAGAGGAGACCTGAAGTGGCCACCGGCATCGGTGAAAGCTCAAACAGAAGCCGAAAACAAAGCCAGAATGGATTTGGCGAAAGGTCCAGCCGTCAGACCTCGCAGGGTGAACAAGGACTATAGCGGCTTCTTTGCTCAACATGCCTTGAACAGCACGTACCCTGGTTACCGAGCTCCGCCTGGCACTCAATATTTCACCCCATCCTATCAACATTAGCAAATCTTGTTCGATGATTATTTACTTACTTTTAAACGTCCTGAGCTTGACTTTTCGTAATGATTACTTGGATACATTTCATTCAAAATAAGAAATATATGTGGAAAATCAATTGAAAGTTTAGTTGTACGTAAGGGATAAAAGCATTTGTATGGTAAGAATATGAAATCAGAAAAGTCTGTTTTTCAAAATTGATAAAAATATTTGAGCAGAACGAGGAAATAAATCAAAGCAAAGGACGTTTCTGTACGTTCTTGCTACCGAAAACAGGTTACATTTCTTACAACTATTAATAGTATATAAACTAAGTGGATACTAAAACAAAAAAACACCTACCACTCTTTTTAGCCAAATATAATGCCTGAACTTTACGGCTTAAGATAGCAAAATTTTCGAACAACGTAATACATCAAAATAAACTTCAAATAACATGTAATACCAACTTTTAACCGCCAGTCCATATTAAAATCTATTATAATAAATGTAGATATTTCATTCCCATATTCTGACTACACGAATACGTTTGTCCCTCGTAACATATGTTCGATAAAAATCGCTCAGGACTGTGTTCGTTGGATTTCGAAATTTGTACATTGGAAAGAAAACTTAGAACCAAGTGAATGACCAATTAATATTATATCCGTATCTCTTAATTAGGGTTATTTTTATGTGGAACTTAGGACTGTACTCGGATTACAGGGTACGTGTTCTTGCTCTTCCAGTTCTTCGTCCAAAATTGGCTTTTATACTTTCACGAGATATATTTCTCAAGGTTCTTCAAACGCTTTCTGTTCGGATTTCGAATTTCAACAATGACTTGTATATATACTGAGACTGATCAAGTGATTGCTTTTTATTGAACGCTAATTAGTAATTTATAGCTTTAAAAGTCTTTATCGTGCACTTATTTTTATTTTAGCGACAAACGTAACGCTTGTGGCCAGAAAATAATTTATCTCGTGGAAGAATGATATAGAATTTAAAGGCGAATCTTAGCGAAACATTACGATTGTACAAATAAGAAATTTTGAACGAATAACGAAAATCGAAATGAAATTATACGAAATTATATCGAGAAGAGTTTTATAAAACGATTCGACAATCACATGTCCATAAAACGACTAACGGAATATTTTTAATAATGTAACATACTGATGTGTATAAATAAAGGGTATTTACAAATAGGGAAGAGTCAGTTTACAAATGATTATTCCACTATATATCATAGTATTATATTTGCATAAAGTATCATTTACCTTACAAATAATTGTATAAACTGGATTCATGTACTAACAAATTATAGAATTATTATAGAAATGTTTAACGCCTTAATCTGTTTGTCAATAAACGGGTATACATCTGCTTTTTATTATATTTATACATTTTAGGGGAACCTGTTATAGCTTGAGTACATTTTTGGTTATTTTTTCTTTTCAAAAATGCTAAATAATTTACCGACTTTATAGATTGTATATAGTTTACTGATTAATAAGACACATAACTTAATTTTTGTAGAATGATTCCAATACATTTTATTAGAATTATGAATGATTAAAGAAAACACGGTAATTATGTCCATGGTACAACACCCCTATGTACCCTCACGAACAAAGACGGCTTTCCGCTAAGAAAAAAAGTGGCGTAGGAGAAGGGCCTCCTACCACTTGATATCGGGAGTTACTGAAATTAATGCCAAATTAACGTTCGATTCAACATTTATTTCTGTACTTGAAATTTTAACAAGTGGTAGGAGGCCTTTCTTTTACGCCACTTTTTCCCCTAGCGGAAGCCGAGTTTGCTTGCGAGTGTACCTCGGACCTAGTACTTGTTTCTGTTAACAAGTATTAGGGTTATTTAAATCTCTATTCTTATAATAATGTTAATTCCTTCTTAATCAGTCTTTACGGTATACCTAATATTTGATTAACGTATTCAAAAGTAATAGATATTGTACGATTAGAGAATTTGCACGTCTGATTAATAAATTAATAGCAGCCTGCCCGGCTGTTGAATACGGTTACCTGTACACCAAAGTCTTTGAAAGAGAAAAAATGTTTGCCTTGGTACTTAATGATTACAATTATGACAGTGATGTGGTTAGAATGGATTATATAATTTCGGACTTAGATTGGTGGAGAAATAACCTACTAGGCACAGCTAAACGCAATTAGTTCAGGGAAGGTTCGATGTTACAATTCATACTGATGCCTCTACATCCGGTTGAGGTGTAGTAAGAGGAAACAAAAAAGTCTATGGATTTTGAAATGATTCTGTCAACAAGGAACATATCAATTTTTTGGAATTATTAGCGGTAGAATTAGCTCTGAAAGAACTAGCTAAAGGATTGGGGGAACTAGGCTAATGACATATCATAATTTAGCCAAAAGGATATGGCAGTCGGCCGAACGTAAGAGAATATCTTTGTTCGCGTCGTAAATTGCATCAAACAAAAATACAGAAGCGGATACCCTGCCTCGAATCAAAAATGAAAATGGCGAGTGGGAATTAAATAACTCAGCTTTCAATATAGTCAATAAGAAATTTGGGTACGCAGAGATAGATTTATTCACCACAAGAGCAAACAGGAAGTGCAATCGGTACTGTTCTTGGTTTCTGGAGAAAGATTCTAAAAGTGTGGACGCTTTCACGATATCGTGGTCCGATTTGAGGTTTGACGCTTTCCCTCCTTTCGCGTTAATACTGAGAACTTTAGCTATGATAAAAGAGGACAGGGCATCAGGGATTGTGGTTGTCCCAAACTGGCCAAACCAACCGTGGTATCCAGTTTCCAACTCACTTCTCGCAACAAAGCCAATAATTTTCAAACCAGATGCTAACTTCCTTTTGTCCTCATGCAGGTTGAGGACCCATCCCAGGGCAGAATTTAGGCAGAAATTATCTGCCAAGTGTTTATGAAAGAAGGTATTAACCGGACAACAACAGACATAATGATAGCATCGCTGGCAGATGCGACTCTGAAACAGTACAAATCATCGCTCTGCATTTGGCAATCCTGCGTCGAGAACAGGAATATAAATTTCTTCAATCCTGAGCGTGACAACGACCTAGAATTTTTAACGCGAAGTTGCAGTTCGACAGGTCTTTTAATATCATTCACATTTCTCGTTAAAAGTTTTTTCCTATCTCTTACGGTTAACAAGATACACTGAAAAAATGAAAAATTCGACAAACTTTAAGAGGTGATTTCACCCCCTTAGAGTGAATGTCACCCGAAAAAAATCGTTCCTTGCATAACTGGATGCCCTCTACAATCCCACAAGGTTTCATTAAAATCAGAATCTGCGGGTCGGGAAACCTTCCTTGTCAACGGGCGTGCGCACGGGATATACATATAATAATAAAAATTTACGAAGCTGTAGGAGGCAATTTCATAAATACATATACGAATGGATTTGGAATGAAATACTCGTCATTTTTTGTCATTATGTAAATTTGAATAAGTTATAAAGTTATACAAAATTTTTTTGTTATAAACAAATTGTATTTTGGACAATTTTTTAGCACCATATTATTGTACATGAAAAACCATAAAACTCGCCCATTAGAAGTTTTCATGTATCTCCTCTGGTTTTCGAGATAGTATTTCTGGGTCAAAACTTTGAGGGGTGGTTTCACCCCCTTAAAGTGAATGTTAGCCGATAAAAATAAATACGTGTCCCTTATTTTTACTTGCACAGTTTCACTGAAATCGGCGTCTCCGGGTTGGGAAATCTTCCTTGTCGGTAGATGTTGCTTTATCGTTTAAACGTAGATTTTGCAAATATTTACAAAATTTAATTTTTACGGTCAACAAAACCATCGGTTTTTCCTGCTAAAACCGAAAAATTTTCTTTGAGACTTTGCCAATTTTTTTATTTGTCGATATTTTTCTATTGTTCTAGTTTAGACAATAGCCACGAGTCTAGAGAATAAAAATATCTTTGTATTTTGTGTTTCAAATAACTACAACGTCTGGTATCAGGTCTGCCATCCGGAGAGATATGTTTCAAGACGATCTCTTCAGGGTAGTTCTATTTCAAGATAGATGGATATTTTTACTTATAAAAAACATTTTTATACTCTTAACCTTTAATTACTCGCACCCCACGTTGGGCAAAATTGCTCGAACATGATCCTGTAGGCACCCATAGGCCCATAAGAGCCCAATATATGTATGCTTCTTTTCGTAACTAGTCGCATGGTGTAAGCCATTACCAGAATTTCATAAAGACCTAATGAGGAAATTATACGTACAGATTACGATAACGAGTACGAATTACGCATTTATGAAGACATCGATATTACAATATCCCCATACGAGTAATTAAAGGTTAAAAGAGGATAGAAGAAACCTATTTACATACATACATACATAAATATATATACACAAACTTGCAGAAGGATATGTGTAACACTTGTTCGTTTCTTACATTCCCAAAAAAGTCAGTTTTTTCAACTGTCACACTAGAATACTAGAAGGACCCCATAATAGAATCAAATTAATCTGTGTTAAAAATATCACTGCTAAATTATATTTCATATAAATTATCATTTGCCAGTTTCCATTCGTCAATCTATTTGTAGTAATACTATTATAATTCAAAATCTGCTTTAATAACATTATGATATTTACACAGTACACAATAACCCTGGTAGATTCAAAAAGTTATTATAACTAGATGAAGAATGTTTATGCAATTAATTTTTTTTTCAATCAAACATCTATTTGTTTACTATATAAAGAGTTTTATTTGGCTCCAAATAAAATACATATCAATATTTCAAACATGGTGAAACTTTTTACTGTATTGAATTTGGGACGAACAGATATGCTATACATATGTACAATTGCATAAAATCCGTAGTCTAATTATAACATTCAAAATCTACGCGACTGTAAATTTCATGACTTAAATTTTCACTACATATGCAACCAGGTCAATCTAAAGCAGAATATAAAATTGAACTTCTACTAAACCTTGGATAAATCTGATACACAGCTCAAAACTATAAAATAAACCTATTCGTCTAAAATTAAAATTACAAATAATTATGCACTGCATAAAAATTAAAGAATCCTTTATAAAGTCACTAAAAGACACAGGACACAGGAATATTCTAAATTCACGAATAATGCTTCGACAAAATATTCTGTAAATCTATGGTCATCACCAGAAATAAGATTTTATGCAACAAAAAAATTTGTTCCATCCGTGTTCTTAAATATTACATAAACAATTAAGAAAACAAGAAATTTAAAGAAAAATATATACACACTTTAGAATGAAATAAAAAAAATGGTATCTTAGACTATACTTAAATTAGATTACGAAGAATAATTAAAAAAAAGTTAAAACAATTGACAAATACACATGTGATGTGCATAATACTCTTCATATTAGAAAAATTGGCCAACTATACAAGATTCTCGATAGATCCAATACTACATTAGGAATTTTGCTGAAAATTGTCATTATTTAATCAAATATTTTCAATAGTAAACCGTATCCGAAATATCACCGAACAAAATACAACAAGAACTAACAAACAACCAAGGAAGTACACAACTTGCAGAAATCTTACAGAAGTACCAACATTGCAAATTGAAGCATTTACCAGAACCAAGATAATATCAATGCAAACATTTCATTACAATAGGCAAAGTATTCCACCACATTCATGCACATAAACTATATTTTCTACAAGTAACATAGTCGATATTACATACTATCATTAGGTATGTTAATTTATAGATATTAAGAATCATTGTACTAACTCCAGGCATAGAAGCATATAATTCATTGATGAACATTTATTGTGTAGGAATTTATATTATACCACATACTATAAATTAATTTTTTATTTTTATTTTTCATTATTTTCCAATGTTCCTGCTCTTATCTGCTTAAATAATAAAATATAAAATGAAAAAGTATTTCTATTGTAGTAATATTAGTAATATTAGCTCCAAACAAGCATAAACGGAAACAGAAATATGTATACATGTATATTCATTTCACTAAACCTTTAACAGATAAGTTTAAAGTAGTCAACCTTCCAGTCATGACAAACAAAATCGAAATATTACCATAACTACAAGAGTGTGGCAAAGTGTGAACTACATTCTGATCAAACTCACATTTCGTAAATATACAATACATTTGTATCTTGTATATACAGAACTTTTTACACCATGTTCCATTCTGTTTACCTACAGTAACAAATGTAAATCTATAGTCACAAACGTATCTTAAACGACTGGTATTTTCCAAATAAATGCGATACACAGGATTGTCGTGGGATCAATGCATCTGCCATCTTCTACCATTACTAACTGCGAGCAAATTTGACAAAAAATGCAGCGAGCCCCGTCAATGACCAATGGACATCACATACACCAACATCAACATATACAATTGCCATCTTACCATCAAATATTTAAAGCAGACAACAAAATACATCACACGTGTATCGCGTAACTTAACATTCTGTCAAAATAATTCCATCGTTGTTCTATCCCAGACAGCAATGTAGGAGCATCGAATGTTTATAAGAATGAGACTGTTACGTACGCACACGGCCCTGTCGATTCCTTTCAAGTCTTCGACGTATAAACAATTAGAACTAACTTCCACTCAGCCATCCAACTATCGAGTGTTCAATGCTATCCTATTGTTTCAAATATTCGACTGTATATGGCTTTCGACTAGACAATACACTATAGATAATAGTTAAATGAAACGTACAAAAATAGAGTGGCAATAATATAAATCTGTTTTGTTTTTCTAATGGTACATATAAAGCATCTAACCATTTTCAGTATCGCAATTTCCTTTCCATATGTATGATATACATATTCTATAAATAAAGAATAGTAAAAAGTTTCACACTAAAGAAAACCCATGAGTTTGTTGTATGGCTTGTAATAACTTGTATCGTAGTTTTTCTCTGGTCTGATACCGTGGGAGATCAAGTAAATTGAAACATGTGTGAGCAATTGGTAAGTAACGTTCATTGTTCAACGGTTGTATTGTGATCTGAAATAAATAACCAAATACTTTAATATAAAACTGTTAAAATATGTAATAGAATCTTTACTTTAATATTTTTAATGATTGTTTACTTCTTATAAAGCTCAGTATTGCCATTGTTATTGCTATTATTACCATTAGTATTATACAAATAATTAACAAAAAGCAATTTTCTCTAAAACAAAATACTTATTAAACTATTTAATATAACCTATGTATTCAATATATTAGTATGTATACAGGGTGGCCTACATAACTCTTAACAGCTTAATATCTCGAAAAGTATGCCCTCGATTTTAAAATTCTTGGTCTTAAATTGCATTAATCTGAAGGGCCTTTCTACATAGCTACATAAACGTGAAGTGCCCCCTTCCCCCTTGGGGGGGGGGGTACCTTTATAATTTTAAATGGAACCCCCTATATAACGTTACATATTTAGATTCTACAGGAAAAAAACAAGTAAATTTTGTCTGAAACATTTTTTTGTCAGATATTTCCATGATGAGATATAACAGTTTGAAGTTTCGACTTGTAGGTACTTACTTGAAGCGCTCGGAAATTGCGTTATTGAATTATACGCGCTTGAGTCCTTTGCTTACTCCTGAAGAAACAAAAACAATAATATTTACAATTCTTGAGTTTGACTCAATTATCCATGAAAACGTTCTCAGTTTAGAGCTGTTATTCAAGCAGTAACATTGCGCTTATGGCTATTTTTGATACAGAAGTGAATATGTTATTAGTTTTAGGTGAATGCCAAAAAAATGATCGGCGTGCAGCAGTGATGTTTTTTGAACGTTATGGGATCGAAAAATCTCATGTAACATTCTATAATTTAGAATAGTGGCTTTCGTGAGCACGGTGGATTGTGTAAAAAATCTCGCAATAAACCTAAACCTGTCACTAATGAAAATAATACTGTCAATATTCTTGCTGCAATTACATTAAATCCTCAAATTAGTCAACGTAAACTTGCACAAACATCACATATCAGTCTTTCTTCAATTCAACGAATTTTGAAACAGCAAAAATATCATCCATATCACTTGATTTTAACACAAGAGCTTTCGATGGCAGACTACGATCACCGCGTAACATTTTGTGAGTGGCTGCAGGGTGTTATGGAAAATGACTTTTTGTGCAAAATACTTTTTTCCGATGAGGCTACTTTTATGAATTCAGGACATGTAAATAAACATAATCTGCATTATTGGGCCGTTGAAAACCCACATTGGATGCGATCTGTTCCCTTTCAACATCGATGGTCTTTAAATGTTTGGTGTGGCATAATAGGAGATTTTGTGATTGGACCTTATTTTTTTGAAGAAACTGTAAAATCTGAAAGTTGTGATTTATTAAAAAATCATTTTCCTGCGCTTTTGGAAGATGTGCCACTACACATTAGAAAAGAAATGTGGTTCCAACAAGACGGCGCTCCTCCACATTTTGCAATCATCACCAGACAATTTTTGAATGAAAAATTTGGGAACAAATGGATAGGTCGTGGGGGATCTTATAAATGGCCTCCTCGATCCCCCGATCTAACACCATTAGATTTTTTCTTATGGGGATATGTAAAAGACAAAGTTATGTTTGAACCGCCGACGACAAAAAAGAATATGAAACAAAGTATACGTGACGCTTGCGTTTCAGTGACTCCCGAAATATTAACAAATGTTAGAACAACTTTGATGTTTCGAGTAAATAAATGTTTATAAGCCCGTGGTGGACATTTTGAACATTTAATTTAAAGAACATTTTATTTCTTCACGAATAAGCAAAGGACTCAAGCGCGTGTAATTCAATAACGCAATTTCCGAGCGCTTCAAGTAAGTACCTACAAGTCGAAACTTCAAACTGTTATATCTCATCATAGAAATATCTGACAAAAAAATGTTTCAGACAAAATTTACGTTTTTTCCTGTGAAATTTAAATATGTAACGTTTTATAGGGGGTTCCATTTAAAATTATAAAGGTACCCCCGCCCCCCCCCCAAAGGGGAAGGGGGGGCACTTCACGTTTATGTAGTTAGAAAGGCCCTTCAGATTCATGCAATTTAAGAC